AGCGGAGGCCCAACTTCAAAAATAGAAGAGGGACTCGATGCTCAGATCGAGAGGAGCGTGCTCATATGAACCCCCAAGGGCATTGCTAAGCTCGACCCCAAGGAGAGTGGCTCAACAGGAAGGCGTAGAGAGGCCTAACAACCTGAGGCCGCTACTCAATGGAGCTCAAACGAGCGGAGGACTCGAAGAGAGAGGTCCACAAACGCTCAGACGGGAGCGGCAGGCTCAAAGACAACCCTCTGGGGTGAGGGGAGCACTGCCTGGCTTGACCCGAATAGAGGCAGCTTATCAGGGAAGCAAGCGGCCCAACTACCTGATGTCACTGCCACGGAGCTCAAGAGCGGAGGGTTCAACCCCTAGTGAGGAGAGAAAGGAACCCAGCTCGACCAAAGCGACCAATAGCCCAGGGTAGAGGACCTAACTCACGAGTCGAGAGGAGGACTCACCCAGTCTGCCCAGGAACGCTCAAAAGGACCCTCCCGCAGTGAGGGGAGCACAGCCATGTCCGGGGGCAGATAGATCGCAAATGGGACATCAGAAATGGGATCCTGCTAGAAGGGGATCACACATTTCTAAGGGAACAACAGGGTCCCAACATAAAGGCAACTGACGAAGGAGGCGACAGAGACGGGCCTAACACTTAGTTCATTGCAAAAGGGGTTCTTCGGGAGCAGCGCTCTCAGCTCTCAAGCTGAGGCGGGCCCTTACAGCACATACTGGGAGCGACTCATAGCTAACCCTCACAGAGAGGGGAACACTTCTCAGCTCGACCAGAAGGGAGCGCTAGATTAGAAGGGGTAACCCAGCAGAGCCCAATAAGAGACAGTCCACTGGAGCAGCTGGACACGGTCTCATGCTCTCTATCTATCTTGATAGAGAGCGTGGGTCCCGTATAACCAGACCCGATAGAATCTGAAGAAACAGCGGGACCCAATAACCATCCATGCATATAGAGCTTACTGCTCCTCAGAGCAGAAAGCACAAAAGAGGGGTTTCCACAGAAACACAAATCCCTCTTACCTCAGGGAACGCAGTGTACTCCAGCCCACTCCGCTGAGGGGCGATTACTGGTTCAACCATAAGGGCAGTGTGACAGTGAGGACCCACGGGCCCGACCGTCTATGGAGCGTTGCTCTCCTCAACGCCTCAGCAATAGGAGCTCTAGCTCAGAGAACGTGCATGAAGGTTAAGGAACGACTCAAATCTCGGGACACCCCTCAGGGTGAGAAATGAGTAGTGCACCCTGGCCAGAGGATAGGGAGCATGTCACGAAGCATGTACTCATAAGAGTACCAGCCCACAAGGAGGACCCGCAGGTCCTGAGGTTGCAGCGTTATACTGGGGACCTGATGCTGGGAAGCTTCCTCAGAAGCCCAGGCTGCGTGTCCAAGCCGAAGATGAGGGCTATCACCAGCCTGGATCCAGAACTGATGAGTGAAACCATCACTGTAATCGGTCAACAGCAGGAGGTCCTGACTTAGCAGGTGGGTAAAACCTAAAAGTCAGAAAAAGAACAGATCCGAGTAACGCTGCAGAGAAAGTCTAGCATAGAATACACAAGAACTAGGAGTAGAGTAGATGAAAATGGATCCCGCGCATGATTCAGGCTCATGGATATAGGCTGGAGGCGAAGTCCGAAGCCTGGACCTTCGTGGAATGAAGGATTTAAAGGCAGCTGAGCGCATCTTGGCCTCCTTAACTCTCTGGGGTTGAAGCCCACACCAGTGCGGTCTGTCTCGTATTTTCTTGATGACCGCGAAAAGACCTAAAAATACTCCGACAATTTTGACCGTACAGATAAGAATAAGGTATCGTTTGAAACTGCAAAGGGTCTACTTTTATTTGTTTATAGTCACATTAACAACAAAACAATGTGCTTTTGTAAAATAAAGAAAATAAACAGGGTGCGCTCTCAGTCTTCACTGTCTCCGCGAACTGCTTTTAGAAACGCATCAATAAAATGAACTGAAACTCAGCGAATACTTTACGTACAGACATGAGAAATATATCTATAGAAAGTCAAGCCTCGCCGTGGCGCGATCCATAACCTCAAGCAGCTCATCATACGCAGGGCAGGAGGGATTAACTTCAAGCCGGAGGGCAGTATAATGTGGTTATCTGAGAACGACATGACATAAATCATCTGTCCAACAGCTGCAGAAAGATCC